ATAATTTCTGGGACAATTTATCGTCCAGCAAAATTTGTTATCATGACAGGCCTAGTCTACAGTGCAGTTCCCCACCTATGATAAATTGATCCTGATGCCGATTCTTTAGCTCATTTTTGGGGGATATATGTTAACGAAGCAAAACACAGAGCTCTCTATTTCTGCCCTGACAACCAACAGCTGACCCCTGACTACTTCAATAGAAGATAAAACTATTGCAGTTGCTCTGAACAGAACAGCGACCCCTGCACTACAGTTAGTGCCATGGCTGATCAACATCTATCCTTTTTTGAGTAGAGACTTCTGATATTATTGCCCTTTTGTGTCTGTCTCTCCCACCATTGATGTTTAAAGACCCTATTTTAAGGCTCTGCATATAGAGGTCAGAGAAGAGAAACAGGTAAAATGAAACAAAGAGAAGTAAAAAGAGGAAAATACATGATCATGTTACTTTGTCTCTTCTAGCAGCTTTAGCTTAGAGTACACAGAGTACTGAGAGGTTCTTTAAGGCGGAAGCGTTTCTTTTCATCCAGTAGGTCAAACCCAACCAATCTTTTCAGTACGTTAACAGATCTTATGAACTTTTCAGTTACATTCAGAAAATGATTAATTTCCTCTAAAGAACAGATATGTTCAAGGTTCCACCAGTGGAAGCAGTTTCTGATTCACAGTCATACTCCTTCACATGATACCAGACTGAACTCATGCTGTACCTCCTGGTTGCTCACGTTGTCTCTGTCTGCAGACTGAGAACTACTCACGTTCTCTGCAGACCTTTACATCCCGTTCTCTAACAACACCGTGATCCACGTAGAGGGAACTAATAACGGGGAGACCTGCAAAAATATGTGCTGTGTTTATCCTCGATACAAAAGACAGCTCATCCACACTGACGGTACTATCCGGTGGCACTATCCTCACTCCCTGCCGGACAGATGGAGGACACCATTCCTCCAGAACGGCACCCAACTAAACCACTGATCAGTCGACCAACACTCACAAAGGACAGATGGAGAATACAGCAGAGAAGAAAACCATTTAAACCATTTAAAACTCACGTCAAACTGTCCTGTATTCGGTCCCAGTCTGGCTCTTTTCACATTTGTTTGGAAGTTGGAACAACAAGAGAAGAAACTGTGTTTGCTGTTTTGATTGACTGTTACCTGTTCAGGTCTCAGGTCTCTCACATTATCAGCAGTGAACATGTACATTTACTGCAGAATATTTAGCTCTTTTTAGCTACTTTAACTGCAGTGTGTGTAAAACGATCTCACAGGTACATTTAGCTGTTGCTCTCTTCTCAAAAGTCACAATAAAATTACTTTTAATCTTACTAATTTGAGAATACACTTCAGGCTCTTTGGGGATTAACTCTGAGTTAAAAACTTGCATCAATCCTAAATGTTCCTGGCAGCCATTGAAGACGGGCTAAAATAAGAGCAATGAGTTGTCGTCAGTGAGGAGTTTGACAGCAGCTTTTGGGTCTCAGGAGGTAGTTTGTATAGACATAGAAAGTGTAACAGACATAAAGACTAATAGGTGTTGAACAGATGTGGATAAAAGTTGGTTGAACACACTTCAACTTTACAAGTTTCCTTGTTTTCTATATTTTCTGTTGACACAATGCTGCACTTACATTCTGAGGTCAGAGTTGAGGCACAAATTTATGGAAAATAAAAACCATTTGATTTTGACTTTAATGGACTATATTAGGATTAGCTGTTGGATTAGGATTAGGATTTGGATTAGCCTGGTGCTACATGATGCGCCTTGAATGCAGTTTCAGATTCATGCAATTATGTTGTCTTTCTAAGGAGACCATTTAGTGAAAACCACAAATGTGGTTTTATAATAATCATAATATTCATGCGTTTAATGGCTCATTGTAAAGTCCCCATGAAACAGGAAGCAAAGAGCTGTTTGCTTCCTCATTTTACTGTTTCCTGTAAAAACAGACAGTTAGGGGGGGTCTCGATGGTATTGAGCCAATAGCAGCTAGCATCAGTGTCCATCTTCCAGTGATCACAACTCAGTTTGATCTGAGTTTGGTGCGTTGAGCTGGACGGACTCACTGAGAATGAGCTGT